GTACGTGGGACTCGGCCTCACGTTGGACGGAGAAGCGGTGCCTCGGGGCGCGCCCGGGATCCGAACCCGGGCCGCCAGCATCAGAGCGCGCGCACTTAACCGCTAAGCCACGGAGCCGGCCCCCCTGCTGTAATTTTTTAAAGCTACATACATCATATCTTATTTATTTGGATCAGTGATGGGTAATAACTTTGCCTTGTACCTCCATACACAAGTTTTTTTCTCCAGCACTTAAAAAATATTAAAAAGAAGTTCTGAGATTGACTTACTGAAGAACATTTAAAAGGTCTCCTTATTATTAGCACAAATTGAGAAATTTTAATAAAGATATTCTAGTAAGAGTGAAGTGATTGAAGATGTCAGAGAAAGAAATATAGATCCCAGGAATATTATTAAGTTTTTTCATTTCAGTTCATGTAGAAATATTAGTCCCTTTACCAAAAAGAAGTAAAAGAATAGTTTTCCTTTTAATTAGATTCATGTAACTACACAAATGAAAAATTTATAGGATTGGCTTTAGGTGAGAGGGTTTTATTAAAAGTTAATAAAACACTGGAATAAGCTTGGCATCAGGTCTCGTATGAGTCTTTTGAATCTATTTCCTTATAAATATAGTCATAGGAATTGGTTTTCCATCAGCTTCTTGGAATTACAATGGCTTCAAATGATTAACTGATTTGCCAGTCTCACAAATAGTTAAAAGTATATCGAGTTTTGGGCAGTGAACTAGGGAAGTTTTGTGTGTTTTGGTTAAAGCATAGAACAGTACTTCTCAATTAAATAAATTGTTAGTCCATACGCTAGTTTACCAGGTAACTAATGAATGAGCTCGGGTGGATAGAGTGAAGAGGAATTGGCTAGAGAGAGAAAAGCACCCAGTAATGAAGAAGGGGAGCAAGCAAGTCTGATGCTCACTCTGTTTGCATTCAGTAGGTACTCAGTAAATAATTGCTGAAGGAATGAATGAATGATAAGTATAAAGAAAGTGGCATAAACACCTAATTCAAAACGAAGTTTAAATTTTGCTTCATGACAGGGTAATAATATTTCACCTGTGATACCTGTCTTGGCAATATATAAAGATATAATATTTTCAGAAGTTGTGGGGCCCTTAAAGAAGAAAACATCTAAGTTTTGGGGGAAAATGGAAATCTACGCAAATGTAAGTTTTTATATTTTTTAAAGATTTTTTTTACAAGTCCAAATCCAGTGTTACTTTAGGAACATAAAAATGTATTAGGTATAAATTGGTTTGCTCACAAAACCATTACATATTTTAAATATAATTTATTCAAATAATATAAATTTACTACTTGAAATTTTTTTCTTTTGAAAAATAACTACTAATGAGACTGCAAGCTAACATCAATTATCAGTTGGCTTTTGCCAATTGAGGAGAAATCAGCAAAAAGTCAGAAAGAGAAGAAACCATAAACATCACAGTAAAAACAAACAAAACCAGAAAGTTATATTTTTTTCTAGACTCACTGCCTTCCATAAGGCGTTTGTTTGCAGAAAATAATCTAAGGGTTGGAGGGAAAGGGAGAAAAAAATAAACCAAACCCAAGCAACTTTTTTCAAGCATCTACATTTTTGTTTAATGACTGAATGCCCCCAAATTTGCCAGTTTCTCTGCTTTCTGGGCTCCCACATCTCCAGGGGCTCTCCATTTGGACATAATTCCTTACTCAGAACTTGCTGAGGGTCTTGAGTCCCACTCCAGAGGAGTCTCATAAACTCCCTACGCCAGCTTATGTTCTGCGGAGCGTGTCCTTTCTGACTGTGTTCCCAAGGAACAGGAAAGAGGGAAGAGGAGGTGTGTGTGACCTTAGGGATGCTAAGTTCTGCTTTACATTTTAAATCTATAGATTTTTTCCTTCAATGAGTGGCAGGCCATTCTTAATTCCTGCTCTTCTATACTGAGGAATTGAGCATCATCTCTCCTGGCAATCCAAGGAACTTTGCTCTTTGTCCAAAATACCTCTCTCTTCCAAAGTGATTTCCCCTCCTCTGAGAAATGCTGTCATGTCAGGCTGCACTGCCCTTGAACCAGACAACTTTCTCTGCTTGTCTTTATCTGTCTAAATAAAGCTAACCTACATTTGCTGTCTAATTCATTCGGATGCTTGCTGATGCTATTTAAAGCATTCCTCAGGGCTCCGTGGAAAACAAGATGCACTATCTCCAGTAGGGAACCTTTAGGTTTGTTAGTCATTTAAGGAATTCAAGAATCTAAAGAATCCATTCAGTCTTCAGTAGTTCAGATGTGAAGGACAAAGGAACTTTTCGTGTTTTTTATTCCAGGCAGTCTTCTTTGACTTGTACGTTGCTGGGATCAGTTGATAGCAAAAGAAGTAGCTAGAAAGTTAATCTCTCTCTCTCTCTCTGTGTGTGTGTGACAGTCTCTAGGCTTCATGAAATCCAGCTTTTCTGAAGATTAACTGCTCAACAGAATGTATTTTTCATTCTAGGCTCTGATAATTGGTTAGTCCACTGTGAGTTTACTTTCCCCTCTCAGGGAACAAATGCAAAAGATTAAAAGGAGCTGTCACCTTGTAAACAGGCTTTTGGTGAGTTTTTGGCTTGTCTCCACCTCCCCCTCTTCAGTTTCCATCTGATATTTCATTAGAGAATCTTGGTACTTCCACATTCCAGAAAAAAAAGGAAATCCTAAACAGGGAAAGGAATAAAATATTGGAGTTGTAAATAGGACTGCACTGTGCACTTCTATGTGACTGGGAGTTCAGAGAGGTTTCAAATCTATTGTTTGTTTTTTTCAGATATGGTATTTATGTCGGTCTTTTGGCTTGCTTAGTGAGAGGGAGAGCTGGTACAATGGCATGGTTTTAACCATCAGTGCCCCACTGCTCCCTTAAGCACATGCTTTTATCAGCATCCACTTGTTTAGCCATGATTCTGTGACGTCCATTGCAGTGAGTGAGTCAGAAGCCACAAGCTAACAGGTCTATTCCTTCCCGTCGTCACCTAGGAAACCAATGCATCATCCACAGGAAATGCAGGCCCGGATGGGGAGTGTGCCCAGATCGGGTTATAAAGCTGGCAGTGAGTTTTTCAAAAGAGGTCAAATAATAATGTGTAGAATCTTTGTCTAGGGTGAGAAGTGGATCCAGCCTCTCAGGCATGGATGGAGGACTGTCAGGCAGAAATACCAGGAGAAATTAATCAGCTGAAATCATGTAAGATGTCTGCTTTATAAGAAATTGACCAAAACCAAGGGGTATGAAGATATGGTTTGATTCACCAAGACAGCAAACACATTTATTTGCCCATTGGCTGAGGGTATATATTTTTTGTACGTTTGGACAGTGTGTAAAGTGAGATGAGGAAATTGACAAGACATCAAACCAGGCTTTCTGCTGAGTGAAATGTATCCCACTCTTTTCATGGTCACTCTCCCTTGGGCTAAAAAAGTGATGGCAAGTTCCTTCAAAGAAAGCCACACCCTGATTCCCCTCATGCTCTGACTGGTTTTTTCTGCTTGTGCCTTATTTTCTCCCTCCTTGACCAC